ATAAAGTACGTGATGTATGTTACAACATGGGTGAACCTCGAAAACATATGCTGTGTGAAAGAAGCCTGACACAAAAGACCACACATTGTACGATTCCATTTATATGAGGTACCCAAAACAGGCAAATTCATAGATAGAGAAAGTAGATTAATGATTGTCTAGGGCTGGGAAATTTGTTGCATGGAAATGGGGAGTGACTGCCAAAATGTGTGAAATTTCTTTTGGGGATGACAAAAATATTCCAAAATTATTGTGGTGATGGTTGGACAATTCTGTGAACATACTAAAAACTATTGAATTGTACACTTTAAATGAATGAGTTTTATCATATAAATTATATTTCAATAAAATTGTTTTCTAAAAGGCAAGAACATAATGAAATAAAGGGAGGGAAATTTCTTAAGACGACTGACAATGCAGTCACTTGGGTCTCAAAGGCCCACTCAAACTTTCTGCCCGCTGGAGGTTGGTCACTGGGCTTAAGGCCCAAGAAGTCCTCACTAGTACAGAGTCTGGATCTTGGAGAAGGTCTCCTTGGCTGCATCACGTGGTAGGATTGCCTCTACCTTTAGGAACCATGGCTAGAACACTTCCAGCCCATTAACAGATTGCATGCATCACTTTTGACAGCTTCCTAAGATAAGCGCAGTGCAAAAATAGTTTGTCACACTGGGATTTTGTGACAAATGAGAGTAAGCGGCCTCCCAAGGTCGCTAGCTGAAGAGTTGAGACACACTGTGGGCCCTTATAAGGCGTTCAACCCACTCTTCATTGCAATCCATCCTGACCTTGCCTGGTCATTTCAACACTGAATGACTTTAGACGTTTGAGTTGAGGTCAAATCTTTTAAGGCATTCAATTTATTATTTCCATTGTGGAAGACCCTCCAACATGGATTTACTGGATACAGATTTATTAGCAACATCTGATACAGTCTGGAAGACTTAAGAATTGGGGTCAGGCATGGTAGCTCACGCCTATAATCCCGGAACTTTGGAAGGTGGAGGTGGGAGGATGGCTTGAGGCCAGGAGTTCAAGTTTAAGAGCCAGGACACACCTTGGACCTCCATTTTGTAAGGGGTTCCATCCATGTCTTCACAGCAAGCCATCTGCACCTGTCACTCTCCACAGACCTATTCCACCTGCTTAGAGAAGGGAAACAACATACCTTGGACCTTGATTTGTAAGAACTTGAACCTAACTCATCTCCATCGTAACTATTCTAGAATCCGGAATCATGTCCAGCAGCACGGATTTACTCCAGATATTAGATGCGGTCTGGGTCTCAGAGATGGGAACACAGTTTGGGATTTGATTTTATAAGGAGTTGGATCTACCTGTCTCTCTTGGAACTAGACTGCAATCAAATCAAATAGCGTGGATTTACTTGAGACATTGGATGCAACATTGAATATTTAAGGATTAGGGACACATTTGGGACTAAATTTTGAAAGGAGTTTCTCCAAGTTTTCACAGCAGCCATTCTTGAATAACACCCAACAAAGTTGATTTACTCAAGACATTGGATACTGCCGGGTGCGGTGGCTCATGCTTGTATTCCCAGCACTTTGGGAGGCCAAGGTGGGCGGATCACTTGAGGACAGGAGTTCAAGACCAGCCTGGTCAACATGGCAAAACCCCGTCTTGTCTAAAAACACAAGTCTTGTCTAAAAACCCCGTCTTGTGTAAAAATTAGCTGGGCGTGGTTGTGTGTGCCTGTAATCCCAGCTACT